TTACAGGTTTGGACGAAATACTTTATTAATTTCACATCTTATCTGTATTTCTCTTTATTAATTCTTCGTTTTGTTGAGAAATTTCATTGACAATTCTTATAACCGACCATTGCAACAAAGAGATTGTGGCATGACATTCAATTGTGATACCATGACAACGTAAGAATATTCAATAATAATATCCGCCATATTTAACTGGCATTTTCAATATTAAATCTTTCAAAAAAACACTTGAAAAATTGCCATTTTGAATTTAGAGTACGTTGAAATTCACAAAAACATGGACTCCGGGAGTCGGTATCCTTGAGGAATTCACGTATTTTCCACGATTTATATGAATTACTAACAATAAAATCGTATATAAACGAATATAATTTGTTATATTCCTCGTTCTACGAATAAACTAAATTAATAATTAAAATTTAATTGATTTTATCATCACAGGAGAAGCAGATTATAACTATCAGATAATGGATTCTCTATGCAAATTTCCGATAATTAGTAGCTTGGAAATTAAATAAACTAGAATTACTAATCTGCCACGAAATGCCTTTCATTATATTGAAATTCTCGAAAGATTTCGGAAAGAAATTAATAACAAAAGATCATTTGTAGTTTCAAATAAGATTATTCCGTGTTTAATGCGATTAAATTGAGACTTTCTGTCGTTAATGCGATTTAAATAATCTTTACGTATGACAAATTCGACAATATGTAATTCTACACTGACCAAAAAGTCAGTTTACCGATATGTAAAGAATGTCAGTTGGATTAGTTAACTGATATTTGGACCACTTATATTTTAGTTTCTTTTATTATTATTATTATTCTCTTGCAGTATTTAGTATATTTTAATATATATATNATAAGATATTATATATATATATAATATCTTATATAACCTTATATTTAATTAAATAATAAAATAAAATATAAATAATTTCTAATTTTGATCACCAGATGTCAGAAGTTGCTTGTAACAGGCTACTTTCAAAACTTTGATATTTTCATACTTTTAACTCGATTTTCGTATGCAAAATTCGTACTTCCGTAAATCTTTCACCTTCAAATAAAAATTAAGAGCACTTTTAGTTTTCCTAAATACCAAAATTATTCGTTTATTTCCGTTTAATATATGGTTTTTAAATGTCCTATACTTCGGGGCGTGTTGCCTGATAATGAGCAACTTTAATACAGCTGTATAAGAAAACCAATGACGTAGTCCGTTTCATTTTAAAAAGGTTTTTATTGGCTTCTTTATCCAGCCTCATTAAAGCCGGTTCGATCGTATTAAAATAGTATTAAACGTGATAAATTTCGATTAAGCTGATTACAGGACGGTCTGACCCTCAATGGGGTCGATCAATGTGAAAAAATAGGAAGTGATTCCTTTAATCCGGATTCCTCATAGCAGTAAGCTGATATTTAACGTGTCAGCATACCTGGCCAAGCCGGGTTACTTACATATATCATTTTAGGGGCATCGTTTTACAGTCCATTACTACATTAAATATCAACATTTTTCAGACACGCAGCTAAATAAATAAACCAACGACATGATCTGTTTCACGTGAAACACATCGCATCGTTGCCTTGAATACTTAGCTATTTGGCACATGATTTTAATTTATAAATAACATATTTAATCTTTATTAAAAATTACTATGTTTTCAATGAGATAATATCATATTATTGAACTTTAATTCTTTAATCTGTGATATATCTGAACAGTTACTGATAAAAGAAATTGTTTTATGCAGGATGGAACCTTTGAAAATAAATAAAATTTGTTTATTTCCTATAATTATGGCTTTATGGAATTCTATTGGTATGATTATTTGTTTTTTAATAGCTTTACGCGAAGGGCATGCCAGTGTTTACGTTCCTTTCATAAGGTAAGTAAGTACTCTTTTTAATCTTATTCTAGAGTATTTGAATATTTAATTTTATCGTAAGAACGATTAATAGAAGGGTCAACAATACGAAATGATTGAAAGTCCTCTATTTAGAACTGTGATCCAGGTTTTTGGCCCGCTGTTGGGTTTGGTTTGGTTTATATTGCAATGCGACATGTGGGTGATTTGCCGAGATGGATTGCTTCCAACGAGGACTTTCTATGGGAAACTGGACCATATTCAGGTGTTACAAACTTGAATTAAACCCTGAAAGTTCCACTACCAGTGTTCGAAAGGTTTTATCTACTCGGCCATTGATGGTCAGTCCTTGTATTAGGGAAACGGAGGAGACCAAAATTTATTGTGCAATGTAAAATACGGTCTATTTTCAACACTAAAGAATAATAATATAACAAAATTTATTGCTTACAACATATATTTTATGGTGTTTTTGTGTTTGTTTCAGCGAAATTGGCGGAAAATTACCAGAAAGTGGAATTTTTGTGATAGTTTTAACAATTGAATTTCTTGTAGGTAAGAATTCTCAATTTTTACATACAGATTGATGAAGTTAATGAGCGAATTATTGGGGCGATTTTGGGTAAGGGCGGAAGTGTCACTTCCATCCTGGGAGTTTTTCTTGAGTAAAGTCGGGTACTTCGGATAGTAAAAAATTATTTGAGGCATATTGTTCTTTTCTGCACCATCTCTAAAGATTTTCGGATTTTGAGCCAAATATTTCATATAAACTGTGCCCTATTCTTAATAATTCAATTTGTATAGCTGTTTTGAATCTCAAGATCAAAGAAATCATCTTGAACGATCATTTTAAATCATATTTTAATTTTATATTTTTGTTTAGGTGCTATTATTGTGTTAATACGTTACATGGTCATCTCCAAAATTAATAATAGTTTAAGGAAAATCGACATTGTAAATAAAATCGCATTTGTCATTGGTATCATATCCTTTTGTGGAATGCTTCTCGCTGCTATTTACTCAGTAAGACTTTTTAAATTATAAATATATTAAATAATCTTATATATAAAACATCATAACTTTTATAATGATGAAAGGAAATATAGGTTCGTTTAATAATAATTACAGATGTATTCTATTCCCATTGTTCATTACATTGGAGCCAGAATTTTCTTCATTGGTCAAGCACTATACGAAATACTTCAAATACTATTATCTCATTGGATGTGCAAAAAATTCGACGAAATTGTCATGTTTTGGATACGATTTGTCATGTGTTTTCTTTCTATTATTTCTCTCATTGGAAGTATCCTTTGAATTTTAACGTGTTTACCAATGGCCGAGTGGATAAAACCAAAGAAAATTAGTATTTAATGGAAGGTTTGCGGGTTAACCACGTGGAATTTTCCGGGGTTTCCTTCACCTGAATAGGGCCTGTTTTCCATGAAATCCTCTCGAGAGGCACCCTCTAGACAGATCGTCTATGTGTTGTATTGCCTTCTTCTATCAATCCCAATTTTACGAAAAAACATTGGTAACTTATTGTCTACATATAATGATCCTTTTAGCTGTCAGTACTGGGTGACTTCCCCCTGCTGTATATAATCTAGTCTATTTTATCCATAGCATTGAGGTTTAACACTGGATGAAACCACTGAATAATGTAAGTTTTTCGCGGGTTTGAGCCTGATTACCAGAAGGCCCAGTCTCCCATAGAAAGTCTTTCCGTGAGGCAAAGCAGTGGACGATCTGAAAAGGAGGATCGCTTGGCAGATCGTCCACTGCGTTGCTGTATTCCATGCCAAATCACAGAATTTACTTTCCTTCACTATATCTCAGTGCTTATTATGTACCCAATCGGATCCAATCAGTGGATTTACGATTTTCCTGAAGCAAATAAAATTCCTGGAAATCAAGTAAGAAATTTCTAAATCAAATTCTTCAGTAACAAATTCAAAATTGATAACATATTATATTTAATTTTTTAGGGTTTCTCATTAATTTTATGGAGTTCCGTTTGCGAATGGTTAATGGTAAATTTATTTATTTTATTCATGCTAACTTTTACGAAAGAATTTCGCCAAGTCACCATTAATGTCTCCTTTACCATTAATGGACATATGGATGATCAAAATGGCACTTGCGAAACTCGGGAGACAGGTTGCTGAATGGGAAGACGACAATGATCCGTAAACAATGCTGCTTTAATAAATTTAAATTAAAAATTCTTATGAAATTAAATGATTCGACTGTAATAAGATATAAAGGATCCTCCGGAATAGCCTATGTTTATAAGTTTATAATCTTTCAATTAAATAATTCACATATAATTAATATAAACCATTATATTGTATCATTTTCATTTACGAAATACTTGATTTGTAGCAAGGAATTTTTATAATGTAATTAAAATGTAATTAAAAATGCAATTAATTTAAAATTAAACAGTAATTAAATTTAATTACTTTTAATTTTAAATACTCAAATCTTTTCTTAATCCCGAATTTTAATTATTTTTATTCTTTCGTTCTCTGGACCCTAAGAAAGTCTTTTTTTTTTTACCCGCTCGCTTCCACGTGTAGGACCATTAATGGCATGAGTTGGCCACGGGGAGTTTTCTGGATTTTCTTCTCCAGTCTAACATCTAAATAGAAACCAATTTCTCACAGAAACTCCTCCTGAAAGGCATCCTCTCGGTAGATTGTTCTGTGTTACGTTGCGATAGCCGAGTACTGTTCTGAGTAATTCAGGATCGAATCCGTGTCAGAGACCCTATCAATTTTTTTCGTGAGTGTTTCTGTCCCGAATAAGTTGGGCCTCGTCTATCGCTAGGGGCTACTCCCATTGTTTACTTGGTGGAATCAGTCATGGGCGTTAAAAATTATCCACGAAAAGAGAAGAATACTTTCCCTCTGTTACGTGTAACAGCCGGGAAAGTAAAAAAAAAACAATGTAATAAAACAAAGAAAAGTGTAATGAAATATATATTGTAATAAGAGACGATGTCACAATTGCTATATTTTGAATTCCTCACTCGAGTTTTCATGCTTTGCATCCTGTTACCGGAAATGGTAGGTAGAGTTAAATATCAGTCGATATAATATAAATTTGAAATAATATACAGTTATAGAATACGAGGAAATGACGTTTCACTTTACCTTAATGGTGTGACCAAATGATTGATTTCTGTTGCCTCTTTAACATTTAGTTATACGTGAAGATTGTTGACATTGCCCGTTATTGTGACACCAGAAGTGAATTTCTTTCTCTTTCAAGACAATTATCGAAAATATGAAATTTAAACATAGATAAAGTGCCTAATAATTTTTATTATCTGATACGTAAACAGGAAATGTCATATCATCCAATGTTGTAATCTGTAACACAATACAACACTCCGTTCACCCGCTATGGAGACTTGGGAGGTGAAGAGACTTCATTTTATACCCGTAATTATGACTTTATGGGTCCTTAGTGGAATGCTGATATGCTTTCTGGTAGCTCTACGCGAAGGTCACGTGAGTGCCTACGTACCTTTCATCAGGTAAGTGATTCATATCCAGGATGGATTTGTACGTAAGTTAAATAAGTGAAGTTTAGGGTTTCTATGAATTTATTAATTATGGCTTCGCATTATGAGGGTCTTACGTTTTTTATGTATCATTATTTGGTGGAGGGGAAATGGATCAAGGACGTAACATGACTTAAGGTAGCGAGTAAATAATACGAAAATCATACATTTATTAGTAATTGTACTAACAATAAAATGAATATTTCACTGTATAAAAGTGAAAGTAATAGAAGTGTTTTCTTGCTTTCACTTTTCACAAATGGTGACTAAGCAGAAAAACACTTTCGAAATTTAAAATTTGAAAGTAATGTTCCAGCTACAATACAATTTTTATCTGTAATATTGATCCGAATTTTATCTCTATAAAGATAAGTCGCAGTCGAACTGAATGATGACATCAGCACCGTATCTAGGGCCTGGCAAAAGGGCCCGGCTGATTCTAAGTATTTTAATATATCTAGTAGAGAATTTTTGAGGGCGCGATATCAGAATATTGTCCTGGGCGAGACACTGATAACGTCACGGTTCAATAGTATGATTTATATCGACGTCACGGTTCAATAGTATGATTACATCGCTGTGATTTATAAAAATATACTTTAAATGTTGCATTTTAATTATTTATAATTAAGTAATTTTTATTCTTGGATACGTGTACCATCCGGTATAAAATATGTGGGCTTGACCAAGCCCGTAATAGGTTTGAATAAAATAAAATCCAACTTAGTACCCATAGGGCAGAAAGAGTATTTTTTTTATTTTTTTAATTTATGGGGTTCCCTGTGTATATGTTGCCGCGTTAAACATAAACCTATTGTAAGATTACTCATCACAATTGGAAATTTTGCTCCCTTTTAGTGAAGCTGGTGGAAAATTGCCAGAAAGTGGTATTTTTGGAATTTTTCTCGCGTTTGGAGCCATGTTAGGTAATATATTTTCTATCCTGTATACATTTTATACTGAATAATTATAGATTTTTTTAATGTTTTTCAGGTATTATTACCATTATCATTCAATATTTCGTCATTTTCAAGTACAACAGTCGATATTCCAAGAAAATTAACATTTTAAACAAAATTGCTTTATTCGTTGGTTCCGTTTCATTTTTTGGTATGATTATTGTAGGAGCTTATTCGGTAAGTTTATGGGCATTAATAACGAAATGAACCACTGAACATTAGCCGCGGGTTCCCGGGCTGGTCACATGAAGTTTATCGGGTTTTCTACACTTGTGTAACACTTGATTAGAAGCCAGTTTCCATAGAAAATCCTTCCTTGAGACACTTCCTCTTTAGCAGATCGCATCACCGTATTTCATTAAGGTACCATAATACTTGACACTCTGTCAAGGGGATGAACATCGGGAGGAAACTTGCCCCAAGTTAAGTATTATACAAGTATAGAAAATCTGGAAAATTTCATCTGGCCGATCCATTAGTGAAACACAAATCTTATCCGTATAATTCAGGGGGTTCCCAACTTTTTTCTTCCATTGATTCCGTTGGGAATCCTTGGTTTAATGAATACTCCTAATACAAAATTATATACGTAGATGTACGGCATATTGAATGCTCATTTAATAGGAGCCAGGATCGTTTTCTATGGTGCACTAATCTACGGATTCCTTCAGATGTTAATATCTTTCTTCCTATGGCCTAGAGTTTACAGGATCCCAATTTTTCAAATACGCTTCTTGATTTGTATTTTGGCACTAATTTTTCAAATTGGAAGTATCCTTTTCTCGTTTACTAAATAAAAAACACAAAGAAATTTAACAAGTTGTTTAAACTTTAACATATAAATTAGTGATAATTATGTTTCCGCGTGGTATATCCCAATGGAATTCGAGCCATCCTCCATCAGAAAAGGTTCCAGGAGACGACGTAAGACATTTTGTACTTTATTTTCTATCCAGAAATATGTAATTTGATTTAAAATACAACTTTTATTCTAGGGTTTCGCATTGATTTTAGCAAGTTCTGCATGCGAATGGTTGATGGTGATTTTATTCTTATGTTTCTTATTAACATTTGCAAAGGATTTTAAAATGATTTCCTTGAAAATATCCATATTGAGTAACGATCAAAATAATAGAAACTCTGAAACAACGAGACTGATCAGCTGACACGTGTAGATTATAGGTGTGTAACTATAGGTGTGTAACTAGTGTTGCCAGCTTTTTCTGGTTACACATAAAAAAGTGGGAATGTTATTGTCATACCCATTTACTGTATATTCTTCTATTTAATATGGTAGCAACGTATGAAACAGATCTAAAACTCTACAGTCCGGGAAAAACCGGACGTTTGGCAACACTAATATGAGACTGTAAACTAAATAAACATTTTTTCGTGTGTTATAATGTGTATTATTTTTAATTTTAAACGTCAGTCAGTCACAAAACTCTACATATACTTCTACTGTCTTATATATTTGTAAACTTACCATTTGCATATCATAATTTGTATATTTATTGCATAGTTTACATAAAGATAAGGCAAAAAGGTTCAAGGCAAAAAGTACCATAATATACAATTAATAAAAGTATAAAAATCATTATAAGAAATAGGAGAAAATGTGGAGCTTCCGGGTTTTCTTTCTGTGACCCCTTGCCTTATACCATTAATCCAATCGTATGTAGACTTTCGTGGCTTTAGATAACACTATACAATATTGTAAAATAGAGTCAATATGTGATGATATAGCCAATTTATAGTTTCATATATGGTTCTTACTATTTCATGTTGAGTACTTCGTGAACATGAAGTTGTGCTGTAGTGATGACACGTCATATTGGCTTTTTTAAAAAACTCATTTCTCTCTGTGGGCACTAAGAGGGCCTATTTTAGCAAGCCCATTATGGGTTCGGCTAGACCCACAATGGGATGGACGGGTGGTGAGGAACGGGAAATATATTACGGAAAATAAATAAAGAATGTCTTTATCATTTGCTAATTATTTATTGACACATTGGAAGAATATACATAGAACCACACCTATTCTGTAAACAGATAGACAATTCTTTCGTACGAATCGGGAGTAAAAAATCCGTTCTTCTTCTTTCTTCCCATTCTGGGGGCAAAATTTGGAACCACTTTCACCTTTGTATTGCTCTGAAGACTCTGGAGCAATTTAGAAGCTTCTAAAGGTGACAATACACTTCCATCTGCTTCAGCGCATTCAGTTATATTAATGAGAGTTGCACCTGTTGAACAAGTTACATACATCTAAGTTTCACATTACTAGTGTTAAATGATGCTTCATGTTAGTAAATTCATACTTACTTAAGCAGCAGAGAGCCAACACGTAGCAATAGTTGAGGTACATGTTGCTAGTCCAGTTGCAATGGTGTTATGTCGAATCGACGACTGGCATTGGCTTTTATAGGGTATTCTTCGACAGTTTACCATGAAAAATCTATGTTTAATCCCTTAATGTGGCTTACATTTCATTATGATTGATTAATGTTAACAATGATGGAGAAGAAATCCGTTTGGATTAACTGATGAATAACGAAACGTTTTTAACTCGATGATCCGTAGAAGGATGTAAAGCTGGAAAATGTCAGTTTTTAACTGAATTTTAATGAAATTTACAATAATGATAAAGGTAAAACTACACTAATACAACATTATTAATATTTTTAATGTAAATTAATTAAAAATTAACGATGTACATGTAATTGCTTAAACGTAAATCCTCTTTATTTTTCGTATTAATTTGATTAACAATTTGATGTTTATTTTTGTAGAATTTTCATAAAATCTTCTAAAATTTTAATTAATATTACACTAAATATATAAAATCTACTCATTATTTAAGCCATAAAATCATATAAGCAGTTAACATTATAACTTAGAGAAACCGTAAAGCGGTGTTATGTAACCCCACTTTACGACTTTATTAATATTTTATCTTCATTGAACGAAATTTTTGTTGGTCACGTCTATAAAATAAGTTTTATTTATACAATTTCCGAGAACCTTATATCAATTTATTACGATGCTCTTATGGGAAACAAGAGGCTCGTTTAACGACGATTTTCCATGAAATACGAACATGTGTCCCTGAAAAGAAAGATATTCAGGATATTTGAAAAGAGTTTAAGCATTTTTTAAAGTAAAAATGCTAAAAAAAAGGCATGTTCTTTTGACTACCCAACTTTTGAACGTTGTCTTCAATTACAATTACATGAATGCCAAAAGTGCCATAGTGATGTGTTTCGGTACTAATCATTTCTATGGAAGTTCTTCCGCATGTTTTGAAATGTCACTCGGATTTGGTAGCATTTGCAGTGTTAAATATATCTTTAGACAACGTTGAGTATTAGGTACTTTAACTATAATCACGCCGATACTTCCGTGCACAAGCAGCCATGTTTTTTAAAAAAAAAGCAACATGGCTACTTCTGCAAAGGAAGATCAACACTTATTAATTGAAAATCACTTAAATTAACTAAAAATAAACTTAATTTTGAAGGAATTACACTTACTGAAACAGAAAATTGACAACAGAAACTAATAATTGAAAATTCTGTTTCTAGCATTGTATTTCCAGAACCGCTAATGATTCTGTTTGTTTGCTCGTGTATCAGGAAAAATGTCACTATTTAATCTTATAAATCTTGTTAGACGGTAATTATTCAATCAGTAGATTATACTAAGCCAAAGAAACATTAGTTTTGTTGTAAATATTGGATTAACAGAAGGAAAGTATTGTTTATTCCTGTATTCTATAATTAAGGTTCCTATAGAGGAACCTTAATTATAGAAAAAGTTGCTATAACATAGGCTTAAATTATGGCTCGAAAACAATGGCTTGTCTTCAAAGTATCAACAGCTACAATTTAATTATATTTAATCATATAATTGCTGTTTCTTTAAATATTTTTCTATACAAGATACATTGAATTGTAACATTTATTAAAATAACGTGTTATTATATTGTATTTAACAAGAGATGGAACCCTGGCACCCGTCTCCTGCTAAATTGCTTACTAATTATTCAGATTTTATAGCCCGATAAAGGAATATGGTTGTTTGCTTGAAATACCGACTAACGGTATTTCAAGCAAACAACCATATTCCCAACCATATGGAAACAGATGATATTTTAACAGTTTTTAGGTTCTATTTTACCGAAAAAAATTACTAAATTAATAAGTAAGCTGCAAGAGAAAAGTCCAAATAAGAGTTTACCGAGTGGACTTTCCTTTTGCAGTTCACTTATTAACAGAAGAAAACTTACTAAACGCAAGTTGCGATTACGCGCCTTATGTAGAGTTTTCTAGGTTTTCTTCACTTGTCTAACACCCGAATAAGGAGCAGTTTACATAGACCCTTTTCGGCAGATCGCCCATGTGTTGCTTTACTTTATCGCATCAATTTTATCTTCCTACTACCGAAAACTCCGTGAGTACTTTCTCATTATTCACCCACTATCCATATCAGGTATTGATCCATTAGGATCGTTGCTATTGTAAACGAGATTCCAACGGCTTTATCGGATTAAAATACAATTTATCTCAATACACTACAGCACTGGCATTTTTATAAAAGCCAATGTATGTAAGGCAACTTCACTATTCAACCAGATTCGTGAGGAAGATGCGCATCAACTATCTACTTGCTCTTGTCTTCTGCTGTTTTAGTAAGTACTGTTGCGTATAGAAGAATACTATTGTAAGATATATCTAATAATTCTGACTCTATTATTCATACTATTTTTTTTTTCTATTAATAGGTACAATCAGCATCATAATGGCGGTTGTTTCGGCAGATGATGATGTAGTAATGTCGTTAGACGATGCCTCCAAACTGCTAGAGAGCCTTCAAGCTAATAATAAAGTTAAATTAGTATCGAATTTCGTCCCTAGAATGGGAAGAAGAAAGAAAACTAATTACTTCTCCATCCCGAGTGGCTACGAAAGAAATTTATATTCATTCGCAGAATGACTAAAATTCGTATTTCGTACCATTGTACATGATTACTGAGAAAGCCAATAATTAATAAATGTTTCATAAACTATCCAATGTATCTGCCTTTTTCTTTTCCTCAACTCTTTCAGAATACCCTAAATTAAAAATTAATTTAATTTAGTTTAATCCTAATTGTTAAATTTACCAACAGATGGCAGCCTAACCACCTACCGTTAGCCAAATTCATTTGTATCGGATTATTTATTAGCCTTAATATAACCCACTAGATAATCCGGCAAATAGTTTGTTAATAAATAAATGGCAAATTTAATTATTTATATTTTTATTAACTATCACTTTCACGATTGTAGACTTTAAATTGATTAGACTTTTTTTTTTGCTTACAATTTGTGTTTATTTTAAAATATTTTTGGTAGTTTTCGTTAAGGGTTAGAAAACGTAGTAAAAAAAATTATAGTTAAGCCTGTATATACATTATTAAAGTGTTACAAAAAAGGAGATTTAGAGTTTATCAAGGTTAAGTCCATATCATTTATTTTATTTATTAATAGTGCAGAACATTATATAAATTACCAAAATATGTAGAGCCAATGTGAATGTCATAGGAAATGTAATTTCTCATGTCAAAAATACAAAACTATTTCATCCCAAATACTATTTTTCATTATACCGAATCAAGTAAACTTGTATAGCACACTTTATGCAGTGTTAAAGTTAATAAATTATTTTTAAAAAGTTTATCTTTATCTGGATTAAATTTCTGTGGTTATTTAAATGTATCATAGGATAAGCTATGGTTTCCTAATTATATTTCCATACATATGTAATAAAATAAAACAGTAAAATGCAAATTTATTTACTTATTTTACCATTACCTACGTATTGAACAGATACGTTATACTCAGAACATTATGTACTGTACAAAACTTTCACAATACGTAACAATATAACAGTTTTAAAGAGATTTCTATATAAAACCTAATTAAATTAAATCGAAAATAGTTATATTTTCGATTTATCCACATCCTTATCTATACATTAAAATTATCATGTTATTAAATTTTTTATAACCCAAATATATTTTTTCTTTCTTTATACGTGATATAAAATTAAAAATGTAATTACGAAAATAAGATTTTTTTGACAGAACAGTAGAAAAAATGTACAAAAATGCTTGAAAACGGTAAAACTACCTACTAACCAAATAGATAAACTAACTTTTCGCCGTAGTGCGACTCTCACGCCAGCTATCGGCAACCTGATACATTAACTCTAGTTGAGATCATAGCTCAAGGACCAGTATATCTATCGAGTCTGGTTAAGTTACGGCAACGCAACACTTGGGAAATCTGTCTAGGGGGAATGCCTTCCAGGAAGTCTTTTTAAGGGTAACTGGCCAATATTAGGCGTTACAGACGTGGAGAAAACCCGCAAAACTCCATATGGCCAACCCATCATGCCGAGATGCGAACTCACGACCGAACTACCAGTGTTCAGGGAAATGGAACCGCTTGGCCACTGGTGGACTAACACATTACTACTAATGCGATATTGTATTCTTTGTTTAGAAGCGCTTATTCTAAAACTGTACGTCACATTTTTTTTTGCGTAAAATCAAATAAAAATGTCAGCAGATTAATTGAAAATCAGGCATATTATGTAGGCTTTTTAACGTAAAAGATATAACACTATACAAATACTGTTAGTGGCGGGTTCATGCCTAACCAATGGTTTAACCGTATAGAGTAAATTCCATGTGCTCGTTGGTTATTGGGTTTTCTTCCTATATATAAGAACAATGATTTTATATACAATTTAAGAATATACAATAAAGTGGTTTTCGATGTCCTTTCTCACACCTCAGGAAAATAACAGTCTTACGGTGGAGTCGACCTTTTATTAGAGGCTGCTCATCCGCCTCACTATGCAAAATGTTACAGGATTTCCTTCCGGTGAGGGCACAAAATAGAAAATATGCATTTGATAAACTTGCCAGGACTATAATTGGTAAATTTATATACAGTTTAAGACTATACAGTAAAGTGTTATTGTATAGGAATGGAGCCCTATATAATATGTGTCTGGCCGAGTCCATAATGGGCTTGCTAAAAGAGGCCCTCTTAGTGCCCACAGGGAGGAAAGAGTACAAAAATCCATCAATGTAATTTATTGACCTTTAAAATGAACAAGTTTGGTGTATATTTGTCTTACAAAAACACTACGATGAGGCTGATTATCTGATGTGATGAGTCAGGCATTTGAGCTTCATCTTGCTGCTGCACAGTCGCTCATCGTAGGCATCATCATCTATGTTAGCCATAGATGTTCGGTTTAGTGGTCTTCGTGGCACTATTGGCGTCTGTGTATATGCTGAAGAAAATCAAACTTTGTAGGAACCGAATGTTTCATGTAAATAAGTGTATTCCTTCTGTGTTCAAAGTGACGACTACAAATAACACTACCATTGCTCAATTTCCATTGATCCGTAAGTCGGCATACAACCATCTGTCTACGTCATACTTATGCACTTTTTTTACATGGCAGTCTAAGGCGGCGCTAGTTTCTACGTCAACTTTTACCCGATTCGGTGTCTTGTCTGCAATTACTAATAAAGTTCGATAGATTTATTTTCATTTTATCATTAAATAATAATAATAATAATAATGTTTATTTTAAAATTACTAAAATTACAAAATGATAAAAAAAAACTTTTGTATCATTGTAACTTTACAATTCTCTCACCAGGCGTCGTTTAGGACGTCATTTCCGACCTATATGTTCTCTTTAGGTAGACACGTGGTGCAGGTGATTCGCGGACGTTTTCTGTTGCCACCGGCATCTGTTATTTCTTCTGTTATAGATTCAAATTACGTGAAACATACGAGGAAATTGAGCTTTTCTAAGATGGAGTATCACACGGTCGAAAGAGGCAAACCTTACAGTACAGATTACAGAGTATATTTCTGTAAGTTCTATACTTACCTTACGTTTTTATTTATTAAAAATCTATAATATTTTAGATTGCAGTTACTTGAGGCTCCTCCTGATTACGGGTATCTAGAATTTTACAAAGCAATCCTTAAAATATGCCCAAAGATTAAACAGCCATTATCACTTACCTTGTATAAGAATACGGCCATTCGGCCATTCACTTGCCTTGTATAAGAATACAAGATAAGTGAAATCTTAAATTATGTAGGTGTGTCATTTATTGATACATATTTCCTTACGGTATTTCGACGTTAAATGCACAATTTTATAAAATTACCTTATAATTTTCTAAAGAATATTGCAATTAAAATTAATTAACAGTATATTAATTAAACTTGCTAAATAGTTAAATATTTTAAAATTCATTGAGTATGTAGGAAATAAACTTGTTGACCTTGTAGGAAAGAACAACCAGTTTCAGATAAAAGGCTGCTTTAAGTACTCCTCCTCCTCCTCCTAGTACATTCTTTCATTGGTGAACTAAATTTTGATATTTTATCAATGAAAACTAATGATGATTATTTAATAATAATTAATAGTGATTACAGGAAATGTTCAATATTTTTCTCCAAGCAAAAAGGAGGGTCCCTACCCACCTGAAAAGTCTGGGATTTTCATTAATGTTTGAAAAAAGTCATGGAAAGACGGAATTTGCTGAAAATTCTTAAAAAATGAGGAAAAATCGGGGCTGTTCATCAGTTTTTTTCTGTTATTATACCTAAAGTCAAAGTTCTTAAGGAGTTTTTTAAACTCACAACTGTATCAAATGAGCTAATTTTAACTTTTACAGATTTTGCAATTTTAGACTTAATAATTGAAGATTTATTATTCTATTGTATTGTAAGAGGTATTTTAAAATCACTCAGAATCAGATCTTATAAATTGTAATCACTTTGTGTATTTTTTTAAATTTTATTTAATATTCATACAGTTATTACAGACATTTACTTTGTTTTTTTACTGACAGTGCAAATTAATTTTAAAAACTAATATTGATTGATTATGTGAAGAATTATTATAAAATGCAACAGGGAGGAGAACATTGTGAAATGCTGAGGGATGAAAGTCTCAAATATAACATACAGCAATATCAATTGCCATTTGTAAATTTTAAAACAGCTGTATTATTCAGTATTATGAATTTGAAAGAAAAATCTGAGCTCAATTCGAGCTTCGAATGATACATTTGGGACCTTAACAGAGCTATAGAGCATACTCATAGGAACTAAACAGTTTGATTATTTTTATCAGCTTATTATTAATTTATAAAGTTTAGGAAAAGTGTATCTTTACAACAATGTTTACAATTGCTTAAAATTGCATCAAACTTCTTACAAGGACATCTGAAGGTCCTCATTTACGAGAATACAGTTGATTCTGTTGAGGACCTTGCTGCTTGAATTTCTTGCACTTGTTACGTCTGCACACGTGCAAGAAATACTCGGCATCTTTGAAACCACAGGCGAATCACTTCATCAATGCTGCCAAGCATGAATTTTGGATTCACACAATTTTGGATCTAATGATTTAACAATTGTGAGAATTTAACTTGAAGTCTCTGATCCAGTTCTCCATAATTATTATGGATATGAATCAAGGCATTATTTCGCCTTTGCTATACTGATTGACTCTATCAAAACCACAGTTTAAGAGTATTGGAATATTGTGGCAATTATTTAGACATTTTATATTTTATAAGTGTGTGTATTAAGGAAATTTTTTATAATTTTTAGATATTTTGATCATATTTGTGATACTATTCTGAATTTGTTGTTAAAACAGGCAATCCTAACCATCCTGGTTACTCAGATTAATTAATTCATCACTGTTAAAAGTGCATTAATTAAGTTTTGTTGTTAAATCCAAAATAAAAAATTAAAGGAAACTATGATTAATTTATTGACTACATTTATTTCCTTGTATTCTACAAAGATGATGCAATAGTTAGAAATTGCAAAGTAATATTTCACTTACGTACAATAAAAATATAAATATGTATTGTACCTAACATTATTTTTATTTCTCACTACTTACTGAGACTTATAATAAGAGAATTAATTTTTGTTTGTTGCGTATATTTCAATTATAATAATTTTCCAATAGTTTAAAGATCCACTCACCAATTTAAAGGCTCGGAGCAACGAGAAGTCAAATACATTTTATAAAATCTTTCAGAAAACAAAAATATTTTACATTGAATAACTCATCTAATAGATTCTGACTTTAGATAAAATATTTGGGTATGTTTTTTTAAACTTTATTTTGCTTCTGCAAATAAAATATTTAAAACTGTATTTGACTCTGTACCAAAATAACAAAATTTACAATATGTAATGCATTTTAAATTATCTAAAAAGTGTGTTCTATTCACTTTCATTTCATATTTAATCTTTGGATTTTTATAAAATTGAAAAGTATGGGATGTCGCCCGCCTGTTGGAGCAACGGTCTTCTGCTAATGGCTTTAAACATAAATACGACAGTTCTTTCTCCTTGCAATGATAGCAAATTTTCTACAAATTATGATTACCGTACTAAACCACGCGTTACGGTTGGACATTTTCTGACATGTGGTAACGGAAAAGGATCTGTAAATTGCAGCATCCTTCGCATTGTCTCATACTCGTATATTCAGGATTTTATTATCCAAGAACAACTTAAATTGAGACCATCTAAAATGGTAGATACTTTGATGATACTTAGCAAGCAAAAAGAAATAAAGTAAGCTTTCTGGATTGAAAAATTATTCAGAATTAATGTGATAGATTGCAAAATTTTCTTGATGGCTGCATTTGAGGACCTCTGGTTTTGAAACAGAAAATGGACGAATATGGAAAAATAAGTACAGTGGAACCCCGGTTAATGAACGTCCTGGTTAACAAACTTTTATTTTGGATAAATTTTGTCTCGGATAACGAACTTAACAGCTTTTTGTGTCAAATTTGTAAGCTTGCTGACTTTTAGGGAAAATCAGTTAATCGTGTGTCGGTGATGGTCTAGGGTCCATTCGTACGTTGGTGGTGGCGGAGGAGACAAAGATGACAATTATTTTACAGTGAAAATCGTTTATTAGAACAGGAAGATGCTTACGTATTTGAGGTAGTTGGAAATGGCTTACCTACAGTATTTTCTTTCAGCACTGAGGAGTGGCATATTGCTGGTCCTACGATAGTGCAAGCTGATCAGTCGTAGCCCCAGAGCGGACGAGATGGGTTCGCTTAGTTACAGAAGTGATGGTAGGTGACTACAACAACTGGAGTGGTCCGCGAGACACAACACAAATTTTAGCGGGCATGACTTCTGGCTTAATCCAGATGATGATGACAGATTAATCATCGTAGAATTTTTAGGAAATCTGCATTTTGACCTTGAAATTCGAGGTTTTTATAATATGTCTTCCTTGAATCTATCTTTTGATTGGTCCTGCGTCCCATTCCTCGCTTCCCTATTGTTTTCTTCTTTGTCTCCAGGTGAAAACCGAAACCAGATCAGGTCACGGGAAAGGTTTGTTCCCAGGCGTTTATTTGACACCTGTTCATCGACTCTGATCAGAGATTGTTGATAAACCTATAATCCTTTCGCTCATAATTTAGCCTATTGTTTCTGCTATCTGTCATTTTAGAACTTTAACGATCGTATGTGATGTTTTTATACCCGTCAAATCTTTCCTTTTTTCCGAAAATTTAACCTAGATCGACTGTTTATGAGCACGTTTTCCTATATTTTCATTAAAGAAAACCCATTTTACAAATAAAATTACAAAAATACTGACGTCTAGAACGGATTAATTGTATTTGCATTAATTTCTATGGGAAAAATTGCTTCGGTTAACGAACGGATTACGTTCGTTATCCGGAGTTGCACTGTATTAAATGGTATCAGAAGATAGAAACTTAGACTCCTAGATATACTGTATCTGTGAAAATATTTTAATATCTTTTACATAGATATTAAAATATTTTTATGTAGGGGGGTACATGAATTTGTAGATCGATTCCTTAACATTTTAAGTAGAACAGGCCTTTTTCATGTATTCCCCCCGCCCGTTTAACCATTTGCGACACCACGCGTCGTTGTCGTAGATCGCGATCTACTTTTTGGAAAGCGGTAGCGTGTAATGTAAAGTAAGTACTACGTCAACCGCATCGAAATTAATTTCGCCATTACTTCGTTATTTCCATCGATAAAATTCCAAATTTCGAGTGTAATAAATGTCATATAACCACTATAAACGCACTTAATTTCATAAATTAACACTTTTCTGTTATTTTAACGACGATTTTAGCTCCGAATCGATATCGATTTCGCTTTCAAAATTGAAAAAAGTTGTTGAAAGTCATCTTCTTTCCTCATTTTTTTCTTTAACTTAGTTTCTTGGAAACTATATATAATTTTATGAACGCGTTTCTCACGATAGGAAGTCATTTATTGTATGTTTTGCTACTTTTGGATGGCGCGTGTCGATAGTTGATCGATCGATCGATCGATCGATCACTCGTACGTGACGTCCTTCACCGATTATTTTCGTGTTAAATTATAAATTTATTATAAAATTTTATTTCAAGATTAAACTGTTTCTGCCTGTGCTCATTTTTCTTCCAAAACTTCTCCCACAATAGAGCAGTTTGGTAGAATATAAGGAGGGCAAAAGGAACAAATTGACTTTGGCTTGAGGAATTTAGACTCCTACAATAGAAAATAATTTACATTTAACTAAAAGAGCGAGAACTTCAATGTTTGTTTTATAATGTTAAATGGCATTTGAGCATCCAATCCCGTTACATGCTTATAATTATAAAGTACGATAAATATAACGTAAAATGCATCATGCGCAAGCTCTATATTCACAGATGATGCTGTAATACGTTAAATTTTCAAATGGGATTCGTGCGATTCTAAGTAAAAATACCTCATTCGGTGTTAATTACGATGGAATTAAAGCATTTACGAGGCATGCCGATTGCAAGAAGATTGAAAAAAGAAGTACATCTTCTCATTTGCTTTCCATTCCTCCTGGTCAACCAAGTAATTTCCAACTATGGTGACACAATGGGATAGTTTTTTCGAGTAAAAGGCTGTAATTTTTTGGAGGATAGTGTTGTAATATTAACTTTATCCAAAATAAGATTACAAATTTATTTTGCAGTACACAATAGAAGCATATCCACATTCAAAAAAACCTGAAACTTCTCTATTTGTAACATTGATTCTGGATTTCTCAATCATTTTCCATTCTTAAGCTTGTTTATTAATTAATGAATGTACCATGTTTTTAATGTAAATCGTTAATTTTTTAAACTAAAATAAATTTTAGAGAGTGTTCGAAAGAATCCGAATCGGGTAAAATTTTGATATTGTCCCATCACTAATAATTATTACAGAATAAATTTTGCAAACTGAATTAATGTGTGTAATTTGAGAGTATAATGTATTGAAGAAGCAAACTCTATCCAATTCTGTTTTGTTTTAGACGATTCAAATGGACCGGTATCGCCCTTCCACGATATACCCATGTTTGCCGATAAGGAGAATAGAATTTTCAATATGATTGTTGAAATACCGAGATGGACCAATGCAAAAATGGAAGTAAGATTTAATTTTCCTTAGTTTACTCCGACACAAAGATATTAAAACTAAAGACTATGATAAATATTCGGCACACTTCCGAAACAGATAGCCACTAAAGAACCTTTAAATCCTATAAAACAAGATGTCAAGAAAGGGATGGTAAGATTCGTACACAACTGTTTCCCCCATCATGGCTACATTTGGAATTACGGAGCCATTCCACAGGTATCTTTATTTTACTTAAAACAGTATAATCACACTTACTCAATTTTAATCTGTTCTGTTTTCTCAGACTTGGGAATGTCCACATAACTTGGACGAGGCCACGGGTTGCAAGGGAGATAACGATCCTATTGATGTCATTGAGATCGGATATCGGGTAAGTGAATAGGTTGTGCAGACGGTTTTTAGAAATAATAACCGATTTGTTTTTTTGTATCTTAGGTGGCTAAAAGAGGAGAAGTTCTAAAAGTGAAGGTGTTAGGTGTTATGGCACTGATTGATGAAGGTATGCATACACAAATCATGTTTAAGTTTAATTCTACTGTAGTGAAACTTAATACTTTAAATTGTTGAATAGGCGAGACAGATTGGAAAGTAGTTGCTATCAGTATTCAAGATCCATTGGCAGATAAATTAAATGGTAAGTAAATATTCAATTGTTTACATGTGCAATATCAAGGTTAGTGATTCAAGTTCTGTTTCAGACATTGAAGATGTGGAAAAGCACATGCCTGGTCTTCTANTCTGCAATTACTAATAAAGTTCGATAGATTTATTTTCATTTTATCATTAAATAATAATAATAATAATAATGTTTATTTTAAAATTACTAAAATTACAAAATGATAAAAAAAAACTTTTGTATCATTGTAACTTTACAATTCTCTCACCAGGCGTCGTTTAGGACGTCATTTCCGACCTATATGTTCTCTTTAGGTAGACACGTGGTGCAGGTGATTCGCGGACGTTTTCTGTTGCCACCGGCATCTGTTATTTCTTCTGTTATAGATTCAAATTACGTGAAACATACGAGGAAATTGAGCTTTTCTAAGATGGAGTATCACACGGTCGAAAGAGGCAAACCTTACAGTACAGATTACAGAGTATATTTCTGTAAGTTCTATACTTACCTTACGTTTTTATTTATTAAAAATCTATAATATTTTAGATTGCAGTTACTTGAGGCTCCTCCTGATTACGGGTATCTAGAATTTTACAAAGCAATCCTTAAAATATGCCCAAAGATTAAACAGCCATTATCACTTACCTTGTATAAGAATACGGCCATTCGGCCATTCACTTGCCTTGTATAAGAATACAAGATAAGTGAAATCTTAAATTATGTAGGTGTGTCATTTATTGATACATATTTCCTTACGGTATTTCGACGTTAAATGCACAATTTTATAAAATTACCTTATAATTTTCTAAAGAATATTGCAATTAAAATTAATTAACAGTATATTAATTAAACTTGCTAAATAGTTAAATATTTTAAAATTCATTGAGTATGTAGGAAATAAACTTGTTGACCTTGTAGGAAAGAACAACCAGTTTCAGATAAAAGGCTGCTTTAAGTACTCCTCCTCCTCCTCCTAGTACATTCTTTCATTGGTGAACTAAATTTTGATATTTTATCAATGAAAACTAATGATGATTATTTAATAATAATTAATAGTGATTACAGGAAATGTTCAATATTTTTCTCCAAGCAAAAAGGAGGGTCCCTACCCACCTGAAAAGTCTGGGATTTTCATTAATGTTTGAAAAAAGTCATGGAAAGACGGAATTTGCTGAAAATTCTTAAAAAATGAGGAAAAATCGGGGCTGTTCATCAGTTTTTTTCTGTTATTATACCTAAAGTCAAAGTTCTTAAGGAGTTTTTTAAACTCACAACTGTATCAAATGAGCTAATTTTAACTTTTACAGATTTTGCAATTTTAGACTTAATAATTGAAGATTTATTATTCTATTGTATTGTAAGAGGTATTTTAAAATCACTCAGAATCAGATCTTATAAATTGTAATCACTTTGTGTATTTTTTTAAATTTTATTTAATATTCATACAGTTATTACAGACATTTACTTTGTTTTTTTACTGACAGTGCAAATTAATTTTAAAAACTAATATTGATTGATTATGTGAAGAATTATTATAAAATGCAACAGGGAGGAGAACATTGTGAAATGCTGAGGGATGAAAGTCTCAAATATAACATACAGCAATATCAATTGCCATTTGTAAATTTTAAAACAGCTGTATTATTCAGTATTATGAATTTGAAAGAAAAATCTGAGCTCAATTCGAGCTTCGAATGATACATTTGGGACCTTAACAGAGCTATAGAGCATACTCATAGGAACTAAACAGTTTGATTATTTTTATCAGCTTATTATTAATTTATAAAGTTTAGGAAATTTATTAAGGGTAAATTTGATAAATATACAGGATGATTCAGAACTCATGGAACAAACTTTAAGGAGTGGTAGAGCACACAACAAAAAACATTGTTTGTATAGGAAAGTATGGGTGCAAGTGACATGTTGAGGCACAAACACAAGTAATAAAATATGAAAGGAAACATAAATTGTTTACAAATAGCATTTTTGACAAGTGTATCTTTACAACAATGTTTACAATTGCTTAAAATTGCATCAAACTTCTTACAAGGACATCTGAAGGTCCTCATTTACGAGAATACAGTTGATTCTGTTGAGGACCTTGCTGCTTGAATTTCTTGCACTTGTTACGTCTGCACACGTGCAAGAAATACTCGGCATCTTTGAAACCACAGGCGAATCACTTCATCAATGCTGCCAAGCATGAATTTTGGATTCACACAATTTTGGATCTAATGATTTAACAATTGTGAGAATTTAACTTGAAGTCTCTGATCCAGTTCTCCATAATTATTATGGATATGAATCAAGGCATTATTTCGCCTTTGCTATACTGATTGACTCTATCAAAACCACAGTTTAAGAGTATTGGAATATTGTGGCAATTATTTAGACATTTTATATTTTATAAGTGTGTGTATTAAGGAAATTTTTTATAATTTTTAGATATTTTGATCATATTTGTGATACTATTCTGAATTTGTTGTTAAAACAGGCGATCCTAACCATCCTGGTTACTCAGATTAATTAATTCATCACTGTTAAAAGTGCATTAATTAAGTTTTGTTGTTAAATCCAAAATAAAAAATTAAAGGAAACTATGATTAATTTATTGACTACATTTATTTCCTTGTATTCTACAAAGATGATGCAATAGTTAGAAATTGCAAAGTAATATTTCACTTACGTACAATAAAAATATAAATATGTATTGTACCTAACATTATTTTTATTTCTCACTACTTACTGAGACTTATAATAAGAGAATTAATTTTTGTTTGTTGCGTATATTTCAATTATAATAATTTTCCAATAGTTTAAAGATCCACTCACCAATTTAAAGGCTCGGAGCAACGAGAAGTCAAATACATTTTATAAAATCTTTCAGAAAACAAAAATATTTTACATTGAATAACTCATTTAATAGATTCTGACTTTAGATAAAATATTTGGGTATGTTTTTTTAAACTTTATTTTGCTTCTGCAAATAAAATATTTAAAACTGTATTTGACTCTGTACCAAAATAACAAAATTTACAATATGTAATGCATTTTAAATTATCTAAAAAGTGTGTTCTATTCACTTTCATTTCATATTTAATCTTTGGATTTTTATAAAATTGAAAAGTATGGGATGTCGCCCGCCTGTTGGAGCAACGGTCTTCTGCTAATGGCTTTAAACATAAATACGACAGTTCTTTCTCCTTGCAATGATGGCACATTTTCTACAAATTATGATTACCGTACTAAACCATGCGTTACGGTTGGACATTTTCTGACATGTGGTAACGGAAAAGGATCTGTAAATTGCAGCATCCTTCGCATTGTCTCATACTTGTATATTCAGGATTTTATTATCCAAGAACAACTTAAATTGAGACCATCTAAAATGGTAGATACTTTGATGATACTTAGCAAGCAAAAAGAAACAAAGTAAGCTTTCTGGATTGAAAAATTATTCAGAATTAATGTGATAGATTGCAAAATTTTCTTGATGGCTGCATTTGAGGACCTCTGGTTTTGAAACAGAAAATGGATGAATATGGAAAAATAAGTACAGTGGAACCCCGGTTAATGAACGTCCTGGTTAACAAACTTTTATTTTGGATAAATTTTGTCTCGGATAACGAACTTAACAGCTTTTTGTGTCAAATTTGTAAGCTTGCCGACTTTTAGGGAAAATCAGTTAATCGTGTGTCGGTGATGGTCTAGGGTCCATTCGTACGTTGGTGGTGGCGGAGGAGACAAAGATGACAATTATTTTACAGTGAAAATCGTTTATTAGAACAGGAAGATGCTTACGTATTTGAGGTAGTTGGAAATGGCTTACCTACAGTATTTTCTTTCAGCACTGAGGAGTGGCATATTGCTGGTCCTACGATAGTGCAAGCTGATCAGTCGTAGCCCCAGAGCGGACGAGATGGGTTCGCTTAGTTACAGAAGTGATGGTAGGTGACTACAACAACTGGAGTGGTCCGCGAGACACAACACAAATTTTAGCGGGCATGACTTCTGGCTTAATCCAGATGATGATGACAGATTAATCATCGTAGAATTTTTAGGAAATCTGCATTTTGACCTTGAAATTCGAGGTTTTTATAATATGTCTTCCTTGAATCTATCTTTTGATTGGTCCTGCGTCCCATTCCTCGCTTCCCTATTGTTTTCTTCTTTGTCTCCAGGTGAAAACCGAAACCAGATCAGGTCACGGGAAAGGTTTGTTCCCAGGCGTTTATTTGACACCTGTTCATCGACTCTGATCAGAGATTGTTGATAAACCTATAATCCTTTCGCTCATAATTTAGCCTATTGTTTCTGCTATCTGTCATTTTAGAACTTTAACGATCGTATGTGATGTTTTTATACCCGTCAAATCTTTCCTTTTTTCCGAAAATTTAACCTAGATCGACTGTTTATGAGCACGTTTTCCTATATTTTCATTAAAGAAAACCCATTTTACAAATAAAATTACAAAAATACTGACGTCTAGAATGGATTACAGTCGACCCCCCCATAACACTGTTGATTTTTCTGTTTTATACGAATTCCATGTTGTACGAGTAACTTAGATTTTACAAATACATGTGCCGGGCTGTGAACGGCTCACGTATTTGTAAAATCTAAGTTACTCGTACAACATGGAATTCATATAAAACAGAAAAATCAACAGTGTTGTAGGGGGTCGACTGTAATTGTATATGCATTAATTTCTATGGGAAAAATTGCTTAGGTTAACGAACGGACTCGTGGAACGGATTACGTTCGTTAACCGGGGTTCCACTGTA